TAGCATTAACTTCTCGATCAAATCTTTTCTAGCGCAACAAAGTGTAGAAGTGTATACTACTGACTAATATATAGTGTATACTACTGATTAATATCCTTTCAAAATGCAATAGGCAAAGAAACAAGGCGAAGTCGCTGAAATAAGCAGGTTCCAATCTTCTAAGTTCGTCAAATAGCGCGTATGGTGTGCAATACGCATATTAAGTCACAAATGACTCGAGCATAATTACATCTCAATGGAAAAAACCTGGATCTCTGAAGGTGACTTGCGAGCAAGCTCGTGTTTTTGCATGTCAGTCGTGTGGCAACTTTACGAGAGTGCACGTGCATGTAAACGTATATTTGCTATATAGCTCCTTTGCTTTGCATCCAAAACGATGTCCAGCTTGAGCAGAGTTGGGCAAGAGGTCAGGCACAAGTCGTTTGGAAATTCGAAAAGGCCCCCTCCTCCTCCTCCTCATGAAAAGACCGTCTTCGAGTCCAATCTTGAACTGCGCTCAAAAAACAACGAAATTACAACTGCCAAAATTTATGGATAGTCGAACGTGGATGCTTATGGACCCCGTCTTCGTCCTAGGCACTTTCACAACTTCAAGTTGTGACATTTTGAAAGACATCAGCCGGTCCTAAAGAGTTTTTGAATTGGTAGTCTGTAAGCCCGATTTTCGTGATTGCACTTTACAAGCACACGCAATTTGACGAGGGTTTTGATCTGTAAGGGCCTATTGAAAGAGCCATAATTTCTCCTGGCTGCTATGAGTAATCAATTTGTCTTCATTGCCTCTAATACCACCTCGCATAAACCAATGTTCCATTGCTAACCGGACAAGCTGATTTAGTTGCGCTTGACACAGCCTAAGCGTAAACAGCAATCTTACATCTTCAAATCTTTTGATTCCTTTGTTATTCCTGTGGTTGTTTGGAATGATATGAAACACATAATTTCTAATAACGTTTGTGTTGTCAATAAACACTACTTGCAAAACAAGTTCATTATACAAGCAATCACAAATCAACTTCCATATTAAAGATCAATATTCTTTGTACAAGTATGCATTCGATATTTCTTTGCATTGTCTGAAGGGGGGGGGGAGTGGGAGAAGTTTGAGTATTGTGATACTATTGGAAAGAAAACAAAGGGTGAAATTTTCAGGAAACAAATCTTGTATTTGAAGTGCGCTAGCGGCAGTCGTACTTTTGCAGCTGGTTTTGGTAAACTCAAGGGTCAAAAGGCTTGAGTGGTAACACAGGCTGAGAGGCAGTAAGATTATGCTTCATTCAAAAAATTGTCATAGAACTAGAGAGATATAAGTTTGGTTGCAAATATAATCGCAATTCCCGCAAGTTTGGCAATGTACCTAAAACTGGAGGCGTGAGCGGTTGACAAACATACAAGGAGCACCCATGAGTGGCCATTCTGTTACGCCTTATTCAATTTGTTACAAAATTAGCATGACATAAAATTGTGGTTGTAATTGAGTTCTTGAGTTAGTAGATGATATCATTGCGGAAGTGGAGGTGGGGGGGGGGGGGGTAGCACCGTACCATACGGACCGAGCTTTTTGCGGTGATTTCTGATCGAGGAACCCAGACTATCGATATGGATTGGTACTTTGGAACTTTGGCAGCACGGCAGGAAGCGCTCCGTGTTATTGCTCTGAGTCATTACTTTAGAGCCTACCAGATCGTGAAATTGATGTTTTCTTTGATTTTGCGTACGGGGAAAACCTTTTTGATTTGGTCATGCATTTCTTGTGCGTTATTCGTTAGATGGATGAAGTGCACGTCCTAAGCGGACACGTAAGATTCCAGGAGTGGAGATAGCAGTGTAGGGCGGTCGAGCACCGGCAAGAGTTGTTGAACCCACCGAGCCTCAACAAGCGGTTGAGTGCAACGAACAGCCAATATAGCTTTTATCACTTTTTGATTAGTGGACTATGGCCCCAGCACAATCAGGATGAATTATCTTCACTTATAAGTACGTGGAATGTTGAGACATTGATTGAAACATTACTTAGCCGCACCGAAGAGACAGGCTACACTATAGTGTAGTCTGTCTCTTCGGTGACTACTGACTTTACTGACTCTCATTAACATCACGGTGGATAAAGACCTGCGACGAAGTCGATGTCGAAACGTTAGGCCAATAAAGAATTCCACCGTACAAACCTGGCACTGGCTTAATATCATATAACAATTACTAATTCATTCCCGAATGCCAAGGTTTAGAGAAGAGAGAACATGGAACTTGATATCGATTTTATCGATTTTTACCAATTTTTTGCAAAGTTTGATCCACAGGGCTGGGAGTTGGCACAGGGGGTAATCGAGCATGCTGTTTACGACAAAATCAGTTTCTAGAATTATCCGCTACTTTTATCGATTTTATCGATTTTTTACGAAGTGTAAGCTACGGGGCTTGGAGTTGGCACAGAGAGGTAATCGAGCATGCTGATTATAAAACTGCGCGAATAGGGAAATGGCATGTAGACGTGGGCACAGGGAAAGGTTGTACAGGGACGGATGAGAGCTTTATCATAGTGTTTTGATAGGGCCGAGCGAAGCCGGGCAAGCCAGCTAGTTTAGTATGTCGTCCATATTTCAAGCTACCCTAATTTTACGCTTATGAGACGCACCTTTATCGGTTTTTTGAGCATGCCGCTTAGCACCTCGTTGTGTTTCGAAAAACAAGATTTATACCGCAGGAAACTCTCAGGCAATATGCAGCTCTCTAAATAGTTTTTCGGTCGCGAGATCCTTCGGCGTGCCTGTGCTGTTCGATCTTTAAAAAAATCCCCGGCGTCCTATACGCGTGAAATTGGGATAATCTAAATGGAAGTCTGTGAGATCAAATTTTAAATTACACAACTCTGTCATGTGCACAAAAATCACAAGCTGTCAAAGTTGCTTTTGACGGCAGCTCTTTTCGCAACCGGAGTGGACTTCATGGAGATTCCACGCCTAGATTGAGTCTAAAAGATTTACAAGACATTCAAGAACATCTCCAGTGATTAGATATTTTGCTTACTTCATAAAGAAATGCTTTTTTGGGGTGCAGAAATACGTTTTTTTTTCAAATTTGTCTTATGACTTTTTCTGCGGAGGTCCTCAAATCGTCATTTGCCTTCATAGCAGCCCCGGTTTTACGAATACCGCAAATGACCCTAGCGCTTATCATGGCTAAGATAAAATTGCACGAATAATTTTCAATTATTTTTTTTTTCTTCACCGCATGCTGCTGGTCTGCAATAAATTGCTGTGAAAACAATATAACTCTTGCAGACAACATTTCTTTGCAATGAAAATTTGCGTCTCTCAAAAAGATCATTTTATTGAGTGGATGCGAGGGTTCGAGCCGTTTTTTAGACCTATTCAAAATGAAGATAGACAAATCTTTCAAACAGTATCCGATGCAGAATTTCTTTCTCTATCCAAAAGCTATGTTTCGGTTGTGACTGTTTCAAGGAGCGCTGGATAATTGCCGAAAAATAAAATCCTTCACTTTTATCATGTCCAACTTTCAGACTTTTGAAGGTGCTCTAATGACCTCCTAATAAGTCGAACCATTTTCAAATCAATGTAATTTTTTGCATTTTTTCATCTTACTCTTTAGAATTTTGCTGAATTATTTTACAAAAGCATTGAATTTTGAAATATTTCAGTTTCACTAATTGCACCGAACACTGCGAAATCTTCAAAATATTGAACTTCTGAAGCTCGGTTATTATTATTATTACTAGTAGCACGAAGTAAATGTGCGATTAAGGCGTGAGAATGCATAGATTGTAGAAATCGACTGCATTCTTGCACACCTGTAAAATAGGAAATGACAGCGATTCTGTCTGCAGAAGTCGCATGTTTCGCGAAGAGAAGTTAGCCATCAGAAAGAGGAAAAAAGATGCATCGAATGGTACCTAAACTGTTCAACGTCTGATGTTTTGCGAAGTTAGAATGAGTAGAATATATAATTTGGTCTCTTCAGAAAACGTATTTTTGTAATTCTAGAAAGCATGCCAGAAAGATGCAAAAAAGTGCACTAGTTTGAAAAAGGTTCGCACTATTAGAGGTTATTAGAGCATTTTGAAAAGCGTAAAATGAAAATTCTAAAAATTAGCGAAAGTTAGACATGGTATGAAGAGTTCTAGTTTTCGTCAATTATCGCAGCGTTCGTTGCAAAAGTCACAACGGAAACATAGCTATTTGTATTCGTATTCTATAACCAATAACCAAGATTGTTAATACGCTTTATTCAGTCAGGCCAACGGTTCGGTGCCTTCACCTTCGTCGGAGCCTCGGCAATCTTCGAATCAGGGTTGAGCAACCACCAAACACAGCGTCTGCACAGTTAGTAGTCTACTAACTGTGCAGACTGTCCAACCACCAAACACAGCGTCTGCACAGTTAGTAGTCTACTAACTGTGCAGACGCTGTGTTTGGTGGTTGCTCAACCCTGATTCGGAAATTGTCGAGGCTCTAGAAGGTGAAGGCACCGAAACGTTGGCCTGACTGAATAAAGCGTATTAACAATCTTGGTTATTGGCTATAGAATACGAATACAATTAACTACCTCATGGAAACATAGCTGTTGGAAAGAGGAAGAAATTCTGCATAGAACACTTTTGAAATGTTTGTCCATCTCCAATCTGAATGATTTAAGGATAGGCCTAAAAAACGGCGCGAACATTCGCGAACCCACCTAGTACTTGAATTTAGCAATCCGCGAAAAATTTTTCCGTAAGTGTTTCGGCATACTCTTACAACATATAGTACTGAGCAAAACAAGGCAGCACACAAATCAACAAAAATCTTTTGAGATCTTTTGGGGCAGTTGAGCAGCCTACGTTAACGTATTAGATGCTAGACTACAGTTCGCACGCCTAGACCCTAGTGGCTTCCAATAACGGAATTGGCAAATTTTGATATTTATATACAAACAATGCAAATGAGAAAACCTGTGATAAAAACGGAGGAACGTATCACTGTTTATTTTGTAAGTAATTCCTCGTAAATAAGGCAAATAATCAATTTGATACATCATTTAGAATAAATATCTCGCCGTGTATTCAGTTTATACAGTTTGAACACGTATCCTCCAACACAGGAATGCCATGATGAAGAATGCTGCAAAAATTCGAAGGCTGACAACTAAGATAGTGACTTTCAGATTTTCAAGCAGAAACAATAGTTTTGAAATATGGTAAAGGAAATATTTACTTGCGAAAGTCTCCATAAATTACTAAGCTCAAGGGGGTTCATCCCTCCAATTCCCTCCAATACACATCAAACTAGTAACTCACCCATTGCATGAACAATGCAGAACGCTACAACGGCCATGTAGTCTTTTGAGAACTGCGTTGAAGTAGCAGTATCCTCACCGAACAAGTTATGCGCCACTGGTACAAGCTCTGGAATTCAGAAGATACCTCGTTATCACAAAAATGGTTCTTGAGCAAAATGAGCCACTGTGGAAATATTTCTTCAAAATTCGAATCAGTGTATGCAGATAAGCTGACCACGGAATTTTTTTTCATTCGCTGTGTACAGATACGTAGCTAACACCAGAAACGTCACAAAGAATGTTGCAGTGCAAGTCTAAAACGACTTTATATTAACATCAAAGTGAACTTTTCTTCGCTTTGCTCATAGCTCCCTAAATACTGCACGCTACATTTAGCTATACTCAAATCGCATTTATAGCAATTGTGAAAATGAGCACATTTATGGTACTTGTTTCGTAAGATGAATCAAAATTCTTTACTAACAAACTTGCTTGAGTATGAAATTTATAAGCATTAACTGTAACATGGTTTGTGCTTCAAATAAGCAGAAGAAGTCAAGCAAAATTTCTGCGTATGATATTGAATTAAAGGGTCATGGTCTGTCTGCGGTATTGGACACCTGTACACACCAAGATCTACTGCGCAAGCACGGTTGTGGTACTCGAGTCTGCCTCGGTCGTGCAATGCTGGCCAAATTTAAAGGTCTGCCCTAAAAGTGCCGTAACTCACTCGGCTCTTGAAGGCAGTGGCTCGGCAAATCCTCGACCTGACTTTTTTCTAGCTTACCTGGGATAATTCGACGCGCTGATTTCGAAAATACTTTGAAGAGCACGAAAATATTGAAAAAAGCATTTTTCAAGGGTTTTCATTTTGAACTTGGACGAGTGGACCACTTGGAGCAGGCGCCTCTGACGGTGGAAGGGGAAAGCAAGCTCGTCCGAGCGCGTGTAAGAATGGCTTGCGCGCATGAGTATAGAAGCAGTTTTCTAGGCAGAGGCGGTATGTATGCGCTCGAACCTGCTCTGTTCTGATGCTTGAAATGTAAGCAATCTCCCATATCAAAATTTCGAGATGTTTGGTTTTGCCGAGCCACTGCCATTAACGAATAGGTCCAAAATTTGTGCATATACCAGCCTACTATCAAGTAACAGAATGTGTCTCACATTTTTTTAATATCCAAAAAATTAAATTTGAAGAAAGGCAGGTTTAAAGCGAGGTCAAGCCAGTTGATGTGATTCCTCTTTTACACCCCCCCCCCTTGGGGCCGTATGCATTTCTTTTGTGCTGCGATCTTCGCAGCTTAAAAGAAAACTTCATATGCTAAGCTCCAGATATCTGGATTTCACGCTGTCTACCTATCAGTAAGTATTCCCACCATCCTTCACTATGAACATATTGAATAGAAGCGAGAACTTGTAAAAGCCACACTTCCCAGCTTTTTGTATGATCCTCTGATAATCCCCGGTGGACGACGTCTATTCTTTGAAGTCATTTTTCTTTATTCAAAGTTAGTGAAAACATTCCAAAGTTGTAGTGTTCATCTAGCCCAACAACGCTAAGTATGTTGCTGATAAGAAGAGATGATGTCTTGGAGTCATGAAATTTCAAGGAGCCAAGGTCGAAAGTTGGGGTTTCTCGAAATTTTTGGTTTTTTAAAAACTCATTTGTTCTATCAGCAATATGCTTAGCACTATTGGGTTAGAATCAGTACAACTTTGGAATGTATTAATTTTGAAGAAAGAAAAATGACTTTAAAGAAAAGACAGTTGGCCGCCGAGGATCATCAGGAGATCATACAAAATGTGGAAAATACGGCTTGCACAGCTTCTCGCTTACGCTCAATATGTTCACAGTAAAGGATGGTGGGAATACTTACTGAAAGGTAGACAGCATGAAATCCAGATATCTGGAGCTTAAGAGTTCCTTCATACTACGCTGCAGGACGCGGCGTGCGCGGCGCACGCCGTCGCTTTGAAAATATACGTTCACTGCAACGCCTTTTCGCTGGTTATGTATGTATGCAGGATATATAGAGATGCATACATAACTAGCGAAAAAGCGTTGCAGTGAACGTATATTTCCAAAGCGATTCATGCGGCGCACGCCGAGCACACTTTCGAGTGTATATAGTGCTGGCCAAAACTATAATTCCACCCTGAAAACTGCCGTAACTCATCTGCTTCTCAACGAATTGACCTGAAATTTGGTACAGTTGTGCGTTTAACAGTCTACCATCAGTAGCCAGAACGGATCCCGTTTTTGTTTGATTGTTCAGGAAAAAATCAAGAATTCCGAAAAAAGCAAACTTGAAGGTTGGCCAAAACTAATTCCACCTAAGGTTTCTGTCTACTAGAGTAATTCTCAGCTTCCAAAGTACTTTGTGCATATAAATAATCAAAAGTCAATGCAGTCACTTCACTCCAGCTGTGTCATACGTTTATAAGAAACGTTTATCTGCTTTTTTCGCTTAAAATTTTTCGTTCCCAAGAATGTGTTTTTATGGATAATTTCGCAGTTTTTTTGACTGCTTTGAAAGCGATAGGGCTCCACCTATCTTAAAGAAGCTTATCGAAGTGAGAACTAGAAAGAAATTGGAGTTTTCATATTTAAAGCGCACCCGACATAGACATTACAGCAAGCCTGCCTTCAAATTTTTGCCTCCAAAATTAGTTTATATTTTTGTAAGCTCAAAATGATGTAAAGCATCTTTTGCATAAAAAAGAAGCTTGTGCACTATACTTGCGATTGTTGGCCAAGTCACAATCTGCTTCGTTTTCAAAGCATAAATCTTCGCGTTTCAAAGATAATATTTAGGCAATCCCAAAATACTTACCAAGTGGTACCTTTCCTGATTTTCTGCCACTATTTAGCTTCTAGATAGTGTAAACACCCTGCATTGCATGATGCCTTGTGACTCACATGAGCATTACGGTCAGAACCAAGAATAAGTTTAAGGCTTTTTGCAAATCAGTTTTTGCAGGAAGAATTCCTCAATCAACGTGCATGCTAAGACCTGCGGAAATCCGCAAGCACTGCATACGGACTCTCATACGTACAAACAATGTTATTACTTTACTTCACGCTCATAAGAACATTGCAGAAAAAGTTTAAGGGCATAAATTTGTGCGCAGGCCTGTGGTTAGCTCTATGTCGCGTGCGCTGTAAATATGAAAACTCCGATTTTTTTCTAGTTCTCACTTCGCTAAGCATCTATAAAATAGATGCAGAACTATCGATTCCAAACCAGTCAAAGAAATGCGAAATTACTCATAAAAACACATTCTTGGGAACGAAATAGAAATATGCATAAAAGTATTTTTAAGCGATTATACACGTATGACACAGCTGGACTAAAGCGACTATTTTGACTTTTGATTATGTATATGCACCAAATAATTTGGAAGCTGAGAATTACTCTAGTGGACAGAAACCTCAGGTGGAATCATAGTTTTGGCCAACCTTCAAGCCTGCTTTTTTTCGAAATTTTTGATTTTTTCCTGAATAAGCAAACAAAAACGGGATACGTTCTGGTTACTGATGGTAACCCGTTAAACACGAAACTGTACCAAATTTTAAATCAATTCGTTGAAAAGCAGTTGAGTTACGGCAGTTTTCAGGGTGGAATTATAGTTTTGGCCAGCACTGTATTACATGAAAAAAATGGGAAGCTAGCAAATGCCTTGTTGAAGAGAAACAAGTTAGGCAAATCATTTTGGTCAGCCTTTGAGCCTGCTTTTTCCAAAATTTTGATTTTTTCTTGAATTTCCCAACAAAAGTGAGAGCCTTTTTGTTAATTGATAGTACACACAACTACACCAAATTTCAATTTTTTATATCAGTTCATTAAACCGAGTGAGTTACAGCAATTTATGGGATGGTCTTATGAGGTCAGCACGCACCTCATCCGATTGCGAGAAGTCGCTATCGTTGGAAAGTCGATGCATGTTACTAATCTACCGCGTGGAGATCTCGAATGCAAGAATCTTTTTATAAGTGGATGCAAGCATGTCGAACCTTGCTGAGCGCGCTCACGAAGAATTATGAGCTTGTAATGCCGGAATCGCGTGACCGCGCGAGGTATGAACAGTGCTACACAGTTGAGCAATAAAGGAATAGAGTTGTGATTATTATTAGTAATAAGCAGTCTACTTACCCAAGGCGTTCTACTACGGAGAATTGGAAACTCGTAAACACACGTACCAGGATGGCACAAGTCAGTCCAAGCAAATAAGCGTTTTTGTAGTAAGTTGCAGTTGCACCAAGGATGGAAATAATTAGCTGAAAGATAACTTCCGCTTGAATCACTCAATTTTTTATTACCTTATCTACATCACTTTCAATTAGAGAATGTACCACAAAAAAGTTGATATAACTGAATCTAACTAAATCTACTGTTGGTCCTTGCACTGTCAATCAAAAGTTTTTCAAATTGGTAAACGAAGACCCGCGCAACTGGTAAAGCACAAAACCACTACGTTATGTAGGCGTTGAACCCTCCGACAGACGTGATCTTACCCTTAAGTATGAGCATTTGCATTGCAGCAGAGATTGTTTAGTCCATTGTCAAGTAACATTTGTGATTTCGCCTTTGTCAGAGCCTTCAAAGGCAGTGTCCTGGCAAAACTTCATGCGTAGTTTTACTGAATACGGACCTGAAGCTTCACAAAAAGCTGATTTTCGTCAATTTCATGCGCTGAAAAGCCTACGATTCCTTATGGCGAGAAGGCTCCGATTGGGAGAGGAACTGAAGAGCGAAATTTTGCCAAGACGTTGCCTTCAGGTCAAAGTCTAGGTAACCCTTTCTCTCAAATGTCAAAAACAGAGTCAGCTTGAATTCAACCGGGACAGAATAAAATCGGCTGTGGTTGGTCCGACTTCGAATGACGCTGGAGAGCCGCAGTGGACACATTAAAACAGTACCCTCCCTCCGCTCTTTAATATATGCTAATTCTGTATTAAATCCGTAAAGATTAATAGCTCTTGCTTTACAGCAAGAGCTATTAATCTAGCATTTTAGCATTCACTTTTGGATTTTTCGCATACATCCAAAACGTGATATACTTGAGTCCGAATCGAATAAAAGTTTGATTTTGAATAAAACATTCAAATGCCAAACTCGAAATTCGAACTCGAAGTTTTCCATTATCAAACTCGATCAAAAAACTGGGTTTCGGATGAATATTATACAATGCTTTATTTGAATATTTTATTCAATTTTGTATTTGAATGATATTCGTATTCGAATGATCCGAGTTTGGTGCAGCCAACTGCTACAACATCGAGATCGCTCCTTCTGCAAAACTCGATAATGCACCTTTTTAAAGGCGTGATAACTCTTGAATAAAAATATACTTTGTCGATTTCTTCGATTTTTGGAAAACTTTGAGCTACGGGGCTGGAAGTTGGTACAGAGGAGTGAGGGCGCCGATTATGAAATCTTTATAAGAAGGTCGATGACCCGAGAGGAACGGGCTAGAGACAAAGAATTGCGAAGAAAAGCAGATGAAATAAATCTAGAACATAATGGCGTGAAAATATATGTGGTGTATAGAAATGAGATAGTTAAGGCCTCTGACATACCAAAAATAAAAGCTTCACTTTCAAAAAAACGAAGATGTTTGCTCCAGATAAACTTCTATGCCTTTTGTTCAATGCCAGAAGCCTTACCAACAAACTCCTTGAGCTGCATCACCTCATTTTTTGTACGAAACCTGCTATAGTGTTTATTACCGAGACTTGGTTAACATCGAATGCTTCTGATAATGAAGTGATTTTTGGCTTGCCATACTCTATTTTACGCAGTAATCGATCCCACAAAATGGCGGTGGTGTTTGTGTTCTTATCCATACTGAATTATTGCATGAAATTTGTCGCATTAACTTTGATTCCCATTCCACTTACAACATTGTAGCATTTGATGTTATGTTTGAATTCCCCAATAAGTATCGATTTGTACTAACCTACCGACCTCCTAATGTCACTATACAGGAGGATGATGAACTACGCTTTATCCTATCTCGCCTCGCATCTGATTACACGAAGACCATAGTATTGGGTGATATCAACCTGAGCGGTGTAGACTGGAAAACGAAGAAAACAAAAACGCTTTCCTCCCGTAAATATCTAGACTTGTTTGATTCTCTTGGAATGAACCAAGTAGTTACGTTGCCTACACGGGACAACTCCATTCTGGACATCGTTCTTGCTTCTCCAGGCCTTGTTTGCTTCGAAGGGACTTTACCTCCCCTTGGTGGTGCTGACCATGCAATAGTCAAATTCACCTTACCTTAGAAATGCCTAAAATCAAGGAATGCAATAATGCGTAATTTCGATTCTGCTGATTTTATTACCATCAATAGAGAAATAGCAGCCATTAATTGGTTTCAATTATTTGATGGCTATGTTGATATTGATGATGTCTACTCGAGATTTCTCGCAGTTCTATATAATTTGATTGAAACTTACGTCCCACTGAAAAGACATCACGGTTTTGTTATCAAATATCCTCCTCATATACTGAACCTTCTACATCAAAAGAAGAGACTCTCTCCAAAAATTCCAATGATTGCGAACAATACAGAACTGTTTGTCGGACTCTTTCTCATCATCTACGACGTTTTTGGGATTACAATCAAAGAAAAATGGCGCAGAAGAACAATATGCGTGCTTTGTTTAATATGATGAGTTATCGTATCTCCAAATCCAAAATTGGTGCCACCATTCTCGATGATGACGGACACACCTACTCTCATCTCTGGACAAGGCTAATGCTTTCGCTGAAGGTTTCGCAGGTGCTTATACCAGTAGTTCCTGCAAATCTCTCAGGTTGAAACTTTGAGCGGTAATGTATTTCCCAATCTAGTTTTCTCGCATACTGAAGTACACAAGTTTTCAAAAGCAGTTAAACCCTCAATGTCATGCACTTCTGAAGACATACCTGGTTTCTTCTACAAGAAATGCGCTAAAAGCCTCTCCTTGCCTCTAACGCATATCTTTAACATTTCTTTGATGACTGGGAATGTCCCAGGAATCTGGAAAAGAGCTATGGTTGTACCCGTACCTAAGTGTGCATGCGCAAACAAGGTTTCCGAGTTTAGGCCAATTAGCATTTTGCCTACGCCCTGCAAAATTATGGAAAAAATTTTGGCAAAATCTATCTTAAAATGGTGCTTAGAAAACCACTTTTTACCCGATGAGCAACATGGATTCATACCCGGCTCCTCTACATCTACACAACTGGTGAAATGTTCCCAAGATTGGATCATGGCACTTAGCGAAGGCAAATCAGTTGATATCATTTATTTCGACTTAAGTAAAGCATTTGATTCTGTCAATCATGCTGGGCTCAGAGCCCGGCAGGAGGTGGCATTTCAGAATTTTGAAAACGATATCCCCTTTGAAGCCAAAATTTCTTACGACTTCCCCTTTGACCCTATTTTTGACCCCCGTAAGTCCCTGACAAACAGATATACACAAATAATAAGATGGGAGACCGCAGCGCTTATTATAGTAGTACTATAAGCTCCTGCAAGACGAAGGCGGTTGGTTCGAGGCGCGACGTGGCTGTGACGCGGCTGTGACGCTGCTGTGACGCAGCCATGTCGCAACCGCGTTGCATATCGAACCGACCGCCTTCGTCCTGCAGGAGCTTATACCTGGCTTTCCTGGTCCAGCCCGGGTCATCAAGGTTTCAACTCAATGGGTTCATCCGCAAAGGAATCTATAAAAAAAACATAGGGTCAAGATTTGCACAAACTTTGACGTTTATATATCTAAGATACTACTCATTTATTAGACAACTGCAAAACTTTACAATTTACAATAACCGATTGCGATTGGAGCGCGCTTTTCGAGGCCGATAATAACGCTGTGAACCCTATTTGGGGCTCTATCGAAGCGGTGCCTTGGTGGTTTTGGAAGCGGATTTGAACATATAGTAATACTCTCGACCTAGTCCACACTTATGTAAAGAAATCCGGGAAATTATGTGAAGGGAAGCAGAGAGCCACCCCAGGTAGCTCCCAGGTGGCGCGGGAGCCACCTAATTTCGAAAAACACTAACCATTTTTCGAATTCACATAAGTTTCTCATAATTCTTCATACTTTTTTTGTGCTCATGATCCTCCAACTACACAGCAAATTTGGTGCCATATCGTTACTTGTGCATTGAAAACGAGCCTATTTTGTTATTTTCCTCTTACAAGAATTGCGATTTGAATTCCCGCCTGCGGGCAGGCTAGCTATCGGAGCACAGAATCTTCACATTGCTGGAATCTAAGTTCATAGGACAGTAGGATTGATAAGGAATGATGAATAAAGAATGATATGTGCATTGTTTGTCGGTAAACAAAGGGGAAGTCGTATTTTGGTCGGGCCAAAAACGATATCTAGCTTGTGAAAGCGCCACCCCCGCCGGGCCCTGGCTGGGCTTCTCATAACTTGAAAGCATAGGCATTAAGACCAATCTTTTGAGTTGGTTCGAATCAAACCTATCGGGACGGACCTTCGAAATTGTTTTTAAGGTCAAAAGTCTACAGCAAAACCCTGTACGTCAGGTGTTCCTCAAGGAAGTGCTCTCTCCCCACTATTATTCAACATCTATACCATGGAACTACCAAACCTACTAAGAACTGATTCTCATATTAATGTAGCAGCTTATGCTGATGACATCAAAATCTATGGTAGTTACGATAACAATGATAATCTAGTAATACGCGAAAAGTTGAGATTGTCTGTTCATCAAATGCTACAAATGCTGCCCAAATCAAGGGCTAGAAATTGGGAAATCAGAGTTAATTTATCCAAAAGTCAGATACTACGATTAGGTGCTGTTTTGACTGTGTTCGATTACGGAATTCCCTTGCAAATCAAGCAAAATGTTAGGGACCTTGGAGCGATGATTGATTCCTCTTTCAAATATTCATTACACATTGATAATATTGTTTGCAAAGTCAACCGCATAATGTACACCTTATTAAGAAACGTACATGTTCATGATATCAACATCTGGCTGAAACTCTGGAAAGCTTACGTACATCCTGTTTTAGAATATTGCAGTCCAGTTTGGAATCCTAATGTCAAAAATCTTATCGGAAAATTGGGAAAAGTTCAACGTACATTCACTAGAATCTTATTCTACCGAATATTCCCAAATCCTGAGTACTCTCAGGCTCTTCCTGATTATAAAACTAAACTTACCATGTTAGGACTCAAAAGCTTATATCATAGAAGGTTATTAGCTGACATATTGCTAACTTACAAGATCTTCAAATCTGAAACTCGTTTAAGATTCTCAGAATTCTGTATTTTACGTCCAACTAGTATACGTCGTTTTAAAATTAACGCTTACACACATAATTCCAAAGGATGGCGAAAACGTAGTCTACAGAATTCATTTGGTGCCCGCATATGTCATATATTGAATAAACTTCCTATAGAACTAATAACCTTGGATCCACACAAATTGAGGAAATTCCTAATCGAACATAATTCCTTGACAAATTTAGCTCAGATTGTATTTAACTTCTCTGTCGAATTTTTGTCTTCTTATGATTACCATCCCCTACTGCTGTATTCTTCGAAGCATGTATTGGGAGATGAAATAGAAGTGATAGTTCTTTATGTGCATCTACTTTCATATCGTATCCTTTCTCCTGTACACGTCGATCCTGACTGACTCTCTACACAGTTCAAGAAAGTCTCCCACTTACGGGCAACAACGAAACTATTATTTACCCACGATTGTATCAGAGAACCCTCCTAGCCGATTCTCTATATACTTTATCTGTACAACTCAACGCACTTTATTGGAAGCTTTGAGCTCGCACATCAATCAGCATTTCGTTGCTCAAATACGGAGTTAGTGAAGTAATCAACTGACACATGTATGTATGTATGTATGTATGTATGTATGTATGCACATGGATGGTTTGGATCGATCAGTGAACAATTTGATGGATGGATAAATGGATGGACTGGTAAATCATGTACCGAAAATGATCTGCCAGAAGTGGTTCTTCATGACACTTCGCATTTTGAGCGCAACATATACTACTCCTGCTGATCGCTATGCATGTGTTCGAAACTCCCAATAATGCATAAGAAAATCCACTCTTATTTTTTAAATTCTAATTTTCAACACCATCGCCTCTACATTATTTACCTACATCATTATCGAATGCATCCGGCAACTTTCCCAGAAGTCACATTTCCCGTTGGCCTTTTTTAGCAACCCATCATCATGAGCTTTATCATTTTCCCGAAATTATACAACTCTATTAGATTTGTCACTTGGATACGACTCGAAAGTAAGAGCAAATGTGAAGTCATTCTTGCCTTTTTCTCCCACCCCGTTCCATATTTAAGCGCCTGTTTATATTTCATTTTTGAGGTGGTGCATCGTTTACGATGTATTTAATAAATAAATAAATAAATAAATAAATATATCAGCCTCAGCCGGATATGTCAGTTTTAGATAGTCTAGGCAAGCAAGTTTTAGACGTGGTTGCTCTGTATAATCGATAAATCATTTAAACATTTACCCGATTCGATATTACTCGAGATTCAAGTTTAGTGTTTGAAATCAGTTGATATTCCATTCAATATTTTTTGAATTCTACGCGGCATTCATTCAATCGAAATTTTCGAATCTTGAGTTTATTCTATATTCGTTTAGCCGAAATTTTTTGTCCGAATTTGTTCGATATTCATTCACTCGATAAAAAATGTCGCATTTTCTCAAGAATAATGCGCAGCATGTGGAAAGTAACTAGACTCATTCTCAAACTCTGCATTTTTTGGAAAACCGCCCGTCAGAAATGAGTCACTGCACGATCGTCTGTGATTAGTTCTGTTTATTAGTCCCGTTTGCAGAGCTTTAAATAAACGACTATAAGCCACTTGGCACAAATCATGATTGAGTCACATGAAGTCCTTATTGCTGAACAATGAACATTTTCCAAAATTGGTGAAGGAATTACTGAATGGAAGAAATGGTGCACCTCGGAACTAAATTTGCATCTCATTCTCTAAACGTTTTCTCTTAAAAGATAAGCATATTTTGCGCTGATTTTTGCGCCTTAGAGGGTAAGTATAAGAATTAACAGACATCTAAACTTAGCTCTCAGGGATTCTTATGCAAAAGCACAACTTTTTGTTCTTCACAAATTGCGAGTTTTGGATATCAATGATGAGTAGTGAGCAATTAGGAAAGTCAAATGAGTCACTTGTGAACGATGTACGTAGGCTAACAAATTTGTAAAGTTAAAATAATTACTCAAATATGAAACATAGCAGTTGTAGAGCAAAAGCGGTTGAAACCAGAAGCGGCTCGACAACCTTCCTAGCTTACGCTGTGCGCGAGGCTACAGCCTGTCCTGCTTCGGATCAGGCCTAATCAAGAGTGATGCGCGTGCAGTCGGTTTCTGGGTTCAAAAGCTTCTTTAATTCAGCTAATACATCACAAATTCTCCTTGACCCTTATTGGAGAGGTTTTTACGTGTACCCTAAGGTGATGAACCTAGAAAGCGAAAGAAAAACAGAAACTATTAAGATCCCTATTGTACAACAAAAATTTCAATCTCATCTCACTACATAGACGGAACGTAATGGATACTGAAAGGTAATGTGAATCGCGTGTGGCCAATGAAGCTGTAGCTAGCTGCAGTTTACTTGCATACTGATTCCACCCTGGCTGATGCATGATGATTTGCCGTCTAATCAAAAGGTTGTGCGTTTCAAATAAAACAATTACTCACAACTGCCAAAACAACGGCGTCAAAGAAACTGAAGTTGAAGTTGGACGTCATTGCCACCCATGTGAGATAAGCAGCTATCAGGCCAAGGGAAATGAAGAAAAACATCAAAGAGTACTGAAAGAATTCTTCATAAATTCTCACTCTTTTTCATCCGTTTAAACAATGCAAAATTCATCCTATGTTTTTTTTACTCCAATGAGTAGATCATAAACTTCATAACACTGAAAATTCTTGAAAGCAATGTTCTACGTTGCTATTGCAGAAATGCCAATCAAGCGTACCCTCATGCACTTTTGATGGTGGTCCTGAATTCATGGTTTGTAATGTATTGAAAGTCTCGTGTGTAACTCACATCTGTACCCGCTTCTAAGCGAAATGTTACTCTATTGCGGTTCGTTCTCTTTGCTTCCTCGAGCATATGACAAGGATTTTCATTATCGTACACATCATCGATGTAATAAGAGCGACCGAGGGTTCTAAATTGGTGTTTATGAATACTCATCTTCAAAAAATGCGTAAAGTGGATATTAGTAGATATCAGACTGTATAAATCACCACTTTGTTTGAGCACACGAAGATACGCGGCCTAAGCTCAAAAATATCATGTATACCACCACAGTTTTGCTTATGAGGAAATTGCTCCTGCAGGGATAGTGGGTCTGATTACAGTCTTTTCACACATAGCAGTCAGTGGGTTTGTTAGCTTAACATATTCACGATACCGGAATTATGGAATTATTGGAGTTGGCCTCAATTCTGGTTTTAGAATACTGCGTTTATTTACTAGGCGCCTCATTACGTTTGCATCACTCTAATTCTAAAATCTAAGATTGGATATATTGCATATTGAAGACGGTCTTGACAAAACATGTACAACGTTATTCTGTTATCGGCTGAAGTTTTATCGAAGGAATAAACCTATTGTTGAATTCGTAATTTTAGTATTGAAAACTTGCGTTGATAGAGTTGGTTGCTGTATGGAACAATAAAGGTTGAAGAAAAAAGTGGCTCCAAGGCGTAAAGGTCCACACAGAATCTATGCTACTTATTATTAGGTTGATGCATAATTCCTGCACCAAAATAGGTACAGACCGCAATAACTCGGAATAATCCTATATCCCAAGTAGGATTCGATACATCATTTGATAGCGCAAACCTTGCTCTACAAGATAGTGCTCAAATATCTACACCAGCTTTGATCCACGCGAAGTTTTGAGCCAAAAACTGAAAAAAACCATGCGTCCGAAAACCTTAAGACAGATCTTAAAAAAATTGTAACTTCGTTCAAAAAGCTCATACAAATTTCTTTCTTGCTCACGCGTAGACGTTCCACGTAAGACATTTATCTATGCGGTTGCTGTATTTTTTCTCAACTAGGCGATGAAAAAACGAAGTTTTTCATGTTTTTGCCAAATTAGTGCTGAGATGTTCTAGTATTAACAGTTGTATAGTATAAGCCGTTAGCAGTGAAACTTTACATTTTCAGCCTTCTAGAACAGCTGATTCACGAGAAATAACGACTCTAGCTCTCCTTATCCAAATTTTTCCTGCTTAGTTGCTAAAAATTCGATATTTCTCGTAAACCAGCTGCTCTAAAGAGCTGAAAATTCACATTCACGCTTCTAAGGTTCTATACTATACAACTGTCAGTACTAGAACATCTCAGCATTGTTTTGGAAAAAACATGAAAAACTTCGTTTTCTCATCGTCTAGTTGAGCAAAAAATACAGCAACCGCATAGATAAATGTCTTACATGGAACGTCTACGCGTGAGCAAGAAAGAAAATTTGTATGAGCTTTTTGAACAGTTACAATTTTTTTAAAATCTGTCTTAAGATTTTCGGACGCATGGTTTTTTTCAGTTTTTGGCTCAAAACTTCGCGTGGATCAAAGCTGGTGTAGATATTTAGGCACTACCTTGTAGATCTAGGTTTGCGCTATCAAATGATGTATCGAATCCTACTTGGGACACAGGATTATTCCGAATTATTGCGGTCTGTACCTATTTTGGTGCAGGAATTATGCATCAACCTAATAGATTATTGAGCACTAGCTGGCTTACCCGGCTCCGCCGTATGTTCCGAATAGAAAATTCCATTTCTTAACCGATCCGAACCAAACTTGGCACACATACACTTCGGGCCCCGGCGGGTGTCATGTCACTATACGAACTTCGCAGCTCGTATTGTTCTTTTCTCCCTCATATAGAAACTCATCACATCCTTGTAGTTTAGTCATACTTTGCCAGTTGCAAAGCATCGATGATTTGCATCGTTTTTTACTACTGGAGGAATTTGCAGATGTTGGCATCAGATGTGAATTGCTCATGGGTTTTTAGTTACCAGTAGGATGTCGCGCGCAGCTGTGGCTTGATGATGTGATCGTACGCATATAAGTAGCTGACAGTGCACACTCAGAGTTATTCACTTGTACTACTTTTGCTCATTTGCTTTAACATTATTCACTCACATATTTTGCCTTCTTCCAATCATAGCATTCCTATTTGTAGTTCATCATTTAATAGTATATTTTGTTATTTGTTCTATCCGTGTTTGTTGTTGTTATTTGTTTTCTATGATAAAGTTTAATTACCCAAGTTTGAGGTGTGCTCGTGTTGTCCAACGCTCAAGACCCGCGTGGCAGATAATCTTTGTGGTTGTGGTTCACAAGTGGTATTCGAAGCCTTATAGTTCTGACTATATCCCAACCACTAACTGGTACATCGGCCGAACTAAAAAGGTACACATTATTGCGCATTATTGCGACAGAGACAGCTTCCTTTGCTTTGCTTGCACTACATCTACGATTGAACAATAGAGATTTACTCTCACAGTTGCACAGCTTATCTACCAGCACTTACATCATGACGACAACAATAAGAGCATACAAAGGATTAGTGACAAAAAGGAATGATGTGGCACTGAACTGGCTACAAGAGTCGGCTCAGCTCCTTCAAAGGATAGAACAAGGAGGCGTAGCAGCGCAACGCGAACGAGCCAAGGAGATCACGATGGACATCACCACATGCGAGGAGTACATAGATCTTCTGGAAGCTTCAGTAACCAAGTTAACGAAAGCCTTCGACGGTCTGCAAGACGCCACCGACGAAGAAGAAGATCAACTAGACAAGTACGTGGAGAGCGCACAAGGAACAATAATGAAGCTGCATGCGCACCGGTCCCAACTGAGAAAGTGGCAGACTGACATCACGGAAACGCACAGAACGGGAACCGATTTGGCAAGTTCTGTGGCAGTCAGCAAGCTACCTGTGATACCCATCCCTACATTCACGGGGAAGAAATGGGAATGGGACAACTTCTGGGCTTTGTTTAAGGCCAATGTGCACGACCAGGAGTTAACGGAACTCCAGAAATTCAACTACTTGCTTTCTTCTCTGAGTGGAGAGGCGAAGCAATCAGTATCTCGATTCTTCGTTTCGGCAGATAACTACGAGAAAGCCATTCAACACCTTGCCAAACGATACGGAGATAAAAGTGGCATAGTACGACAGCTGAACAGGAATCTGAAGAGCTGTTCAGCAAGAGGACCAAGCACATTGGAGCAAAGACAATTGTGGGATAAGCTAGCTAGCCAATCAGTTGGAAGAACACGAGCAGCACTTGGACAACGAACTAACAATCGACACTTTTCTGGAAAAATTCCATGTACGCATACGAAGAGAAGCAATGGACAAACAGTTGAGGAGCGAAGAGGGAAATAAACAAGAATGGACACTAAACCAATGGTTGGACGCAATTGATGAAGCCATTTCACGAGAGGAACAACTAAACGACAGACTCTCGGCAGAATCGCAGCAGATCAAAACTCCGGCACCGACAAACATGAGAAGAGTCAACGTGTGCGAGTGCTGTGGAAGCAAAGGACACAGGTTGACAACCTGCCCACAAATTCCCACACAACGCAAAGGAGGAATTTTTTGCTGGAGTCCAACCGATGTCTAAACTGTGGGTCAAACAATCACAGGGTAGCGGCATGCTTTAGCGGCAACTGCCGAAACTGCAACAAAAAACATCACACGGCGATATGTTCAGAAAAAAGGCCAAGTGAAATGACACAAAGCAGACCACCTATCAGTCAACAGAAGAAGCCGGAGGGAGCGAGAAAGCCAAAAAAATCAGCCGACGACTGCAAAATCGAATCAGCTGCAAAATCCTACAATTCTTTGAAACAACATGCGGTAACGGAGACAGCCGGACAAGACACTCATCTCACAAAACAAGGAGTAACGGAAAGTGCCGACTCTCCAACCGTACTACAGCTAAAGAAGAAGAACGATTGGAAACAAAGTAGGGTAGTTCTACTTACGGGAGCAGTACAAATGCTTGACGCCGATGGAAACAAAAGAGAAACAATCGTCTTATTGGACACAGGCTCGGAACTCTCATTCATTGGAGAGCAGCTCGCGAACGAGCTCAACTTGCCAACGCTAGGTACAACTTCTCTCGAGCTCAGCACATTCGGGTCATCATCACCGAAAACGAAAAACTGTGCGTTAACGCTTTTGAAGATGGTGGACAAGGAGGGTACACAGCGTGAGTTGCAGTTGTATAAGAACGACTATATTACAAGCACCGTACAGCGAGCGTGCCTCGATCACGAAGATTTGCAGTTTATCAAGAGAGGAAATTTCGACTTGTCTTTGCCGATAGAAGGTGGAGAGTTGCAGCCGCAAATTTTACTGGGTTGCGACCATCTCTGGAACTTCATGGAAACAAGCAACAAACTGAGTCTACCATCTGGACTGCAGCTGATACCAACGAAATTAGGGTACATCATCAGCGGACGACAAGGAGACATCCCCACGAAACGGTCGGTATCGTGCACTCTGCAAGGATATGAAATCGAGAAGGAGACATGGGATCGCTACTGGTCTCTGGAATCCGCTGGCACAGAAGAATTTACTGGTCCACAGCAAACGGAACTGCAACAAATAAACGAAAAAGTGCTGGAAAACTTCAAGAAGTCTATCGAAAAGAGAGAAGATGGCTATCACATACGCCTACCATGGAAGGAGAATCACCCAGAACTCCCAGACAACAAGGCACTAGCAATGAAACGCCTCGTTAGAACTCTAGAAATGTACCAGGGCGATAAGGAAATGTTGCAGGCATACGATAACGTCTTCAGCGATCAACGTGACAAGGGAATAATCGAAGAAGTAGCACCGGAGGACGCTGACAATGAAGAAGTGATCCATTACTTACCGCACCAGGCAGTGGTCACCCCTTCTAAGGAGACGACAAAGATGAGGATCGTCTTTGACGCATCAGCCCATTATAAGGATTGTCCCTGCCTCAACGATGTGCTCCATCAAGGTCCTCTTATTTTGCCGGATCTTGTCGAAATCTTGCTTCGATTTCGAATTCCGAATATCGCAGTGATGTCGGATATTGAGAAGGCATTCCTACAAGTACGATTGCAAGAAAAGAATCGTGACGCCACACGGTGCATCTGG